GCTCTCGCTAAACATTTAAGCATAAAATCAATAAAAACTTTAAAATCAACGGCGTCTTTAGACACGCTTTTTATATAATCGCTCGTTAAAAAGACGTAAAACTATTTTTTACGTCTTTTTACGAGCTCGATTGCTTAATCTTCGAGCGTTAAACGATTGCTTTTACTTAAGCTGATTATTAAGCAGCGCTAATACGCTTTATTAACGGCTTTATCTTTGCTATCGACCTTGCAACGGAACTATTAAAGCTTATTAACGACCTTTTTATCTTTTTCGAATACTCCGATTATATATACGTGTTTTTTAAAGCCGTTAACAACGTATTAACACTATACAAGCCTTACGATTACAAAATCGAGCTTTTCGAAGAAAAAAAAAAAGCGCTTCGATACTTATTATTATACAAGATATCGATTTTTAAGCTAAAGCTTATTAAAGCCTATTTTATCGATAATCTTAACAAAGGTTTTATCGAACTTTTAATAGCGCTATTTGCAGCTTTAGTTTTGTTTATTAAAAAGCAAAACGGTTCCTTCCGCTTTTGTATTGACTTTTACGCGCTAAACAACCTTACTCGTAAAAATCGATACTTTCTCTTTTTGATCGATAAGACCTTCGTACGTCTTTTAAAAGCTAAAATCTTTACGAAACTCGACATTCAGCAAGCCTTTCATAAAATACGGATAGACCTAACTTTAAAAGAGCTTATAACATTTAGAATACGCTACGGTGCTTATAAATGCAAAGTTCTTTTATTCGAACTAACCAATAGACCCGCCATTTATTAACGTTATATAAATAACCTTTTCTTCGACTTTTTAAACATCTTTTACACGGCATATTTAAACGACATCTTAATTTACTCTTCCGACTTTTTAAAGCACGCTTACTACGTCCGCTAAGTTCTTTAACGACTCGACGACGCTAGCTTTTAAGCTGACATTAAAAAATGCGAATTCAGCACTATTAAAGTAAAATACTTAAGCTTCATTATCTTTATCGAAAGCTTAGCAATAGATCCGGATAAGACGTCGATAGTAGAGCATTAAACGCTTTTTACAACCGTTAAAAGCGTTTAAAGCTTTTTTAGATTTTGTAACTTTTACCGCCGATTCATTCGAGACTACGGCGTAATCGCGAAGCTTTTAATATACTTAATTAAAGCTAACGTTCTTTTTTTATTTAATTCTTAATATTAAAGAAGCTTCGACCTTTTAAAGCTCGCTTTAACTATTGCGTTAATCTTATAGCATTACAACCAAGACCTCTTTTATATACTAAAGACTAACGCTTTCGACGGCGTAATCGCTTTAGTCCTTTTTTAAAAGCATAGTTCCGACTAACTATTAATTGCTTACTACTTTAAAACTATAGCTGTGACGACACGCCAGGTCTCCTGGACGCACCTCACATGCGCCAAGCTACTTCCCTCCTTTTTCCCTTCGTATTCTTCGTATTCTCTCATTCCCCGCTTTTGACCCATGAACCATGGTTCACGAGTCCTTGGCGCTTCTACCTTCGTGTATATAGACCTCAGCTACCTTCGACCTCTACACTCGGTAGTTGTTGATTCTAAGTCATTACTTTGAGATTCTCTTGAGCTCCCATGTGAACCCC